AATCAGTACAGAGTCAGAAATCTCGTTAAGTGCGAGTCGCTGCAGCGGATTTAGCCTCTTATAATGACGAGGAAAATTTATATTTATATAGAATGATATATTATATATTTGGATTTTGAATTCTGTTTCTATCAATCTGAGCTGCTAGTCATCCCGCCACAGCGTACACCAAACTGTTCGATAAATTTTTTCTTACATACTGACATTTTCTGATCGATGTCAGAGTAGCCTACAAGTCCGTGTCACTTACAGCTACTAGGACAGCCTATCGGTCATAATTAACAACGTTCAATTACAGATCAAACACGATCAAGCTTAAAGCGATCGATTAATCGCATAAAATTCTGGCTAGATAATAATCTCTGTAAAATACTCTGAATTATTATGACTTCTCGCTATTCCGTGTCGCAAACGAGAGGACCTGCCACGCGAGATTAGAGTCAATTCCGAAAAGTTTCCTTCAGCTATTATGAGTAGCACTGTAGACGTCGCCACTTCTGGCATAATTGTTCAAATTAATATTATGCTTGGCTTTGAATTCAGTCTTAAAATTTCTCTGTTTGGGCAGTAGCGTAGTTCTTCTTAACGAAATAAAAGCTACTCCCATTGCCAGTCTTTCCATTTGTGTCGCTCGATGGAATTGTTGGAGTGAATTTAATCGAAATGTTGTTATGACATTCAACTCTACCTCGCATTCCGGTACCTTGCTTCTGAAATCGGTCCATTACGATTATCTATTATCCATGCTACCCGCAATAGATTTAATAATACGAAGATCGTTTTGTACACAGACGCTTTATTGAAATATTTCATTGCTTTTGGTAGTCTGTACAACTGGCGGCTTGGCATTGGCATGATTGTCCTGATAATGCTTCCATAGGCCAGTTACGTTGTTTACCTGCGCACCACATCCAGGCATTTTGCATCTAGACATTAAACATTCGAATTTTGAAAAAGTTGAAATGTATTTATTAAACAAAAGTGTATGTTTACTTACATGAAAAAGCTGACAGTAGACGCTTTTCCTTGTTTCACCTTTGGCATTTGCTTACCGATAGAATTAATTTGTGTATTTGTGACTAATTTGTGGCTGTCTTGATGATGACGATAGTGCGATATGTATTTGTACTTCTTTCCGCAACCATTGACGTCGCATTTATACGTTTCCTGTTTATACCTAGACATGCGTTGTTTCTTTGGAGTATACTCTTCGTCGTCTGAACAATTGCTGTTTGTTTCTATCGAACTTTCCTCGATTTTCATAGAATTCTCACGCTCTAGACCACTCCGAAAGACTCGTTCCAAATTTCCCAAATCTATTCTATGCTCTTGATTTCGCATATTTAAATTGCATATCTCGCTTTTCATGTTTTTCGTAATGGTTACGTCACTATTTATATAAACCACATTATTTTTATCTTGTGTGCACTCTACTTGAAGGATTTCTTCGCACTTTGGTGTACCAGTATCATATTTTCGTAAGAAATTATCCTTAATAATAAGTAAATCTTCATTATTAGAGAACTTGTTAATACCATTCAAAGATTCATTATTCGAATATTCCTCACTGTTTGTAACTGTTGTAATTTTATTCTGCTCATGGCAAAATTCATTCTTCACTTGAATTTTAGTTTCGTTTCTAATAGGACAGTTCTCTTCCTTACTTCCATATTCTTCCTTTATAGCAAAATTTTCATTTGACAGTTTGTCATAACATCCTTCCTCAGTCTTTTGCATGACTTCGTCATCTATTGCATTTTCGGGGCCTTCAAAACAAATGATCTCAGGCTCCATTGGCAGTGTAGGTGGTTGTCTATGGCAACTTTCAATATGTTCTTCAAGATTACCACTAGTAGATTGCAAGGATCCGCAATTGGTATATGGACATACAAAGACATTTATTTCATTGTTGTGCCATTCTTGATAATGTCGCCACATACTACCTGGATCCGACAATTCTTCTCCACAACCTGGCTCGCGACAACTATAAAAAATTCATAAATTAATAAAAAAAAGAATTTTTAATTTAAATATTTTATAATAAAACTATTATAACAATTAATAATAAAAAATAAAATGATGAATTATATTATCTTTGTCACACTCACATGAATCTAATTTTTAAAGCTTCTAGCGCCTCATGTGTCTTATATTCATCTTGATTAGTAAACACCTTACCACAACCTCGTTGTTTGCAAGTATATACTTCCTGCATAAAATGAAAATTAATTCAAATATTAACAAAATTTTGTTGATCTTATAACATGGATTAAAAACATTCCAATTTCAATGAACTCAGTCACCAAAAGTGCGATCAAAAAATATAAATTCTATATTGATTATATAATATTTATTATCAATCTTATCAAACGTAAATAATTTCCACTGAAATCTGACTCTGAGATTTTATTTTGTAAGTATAATATGTCATTGAGACTAATGGCAAGCCAATTTAATCAGTTCAGATCTGGGCATTTCATAAAAAATATATACAAAAAAATGGAATTAGTTAATTATACTTTTGCAAATTAATTATGAGAGAAATTTTTTGAGATGCTTGAACCGAGAACATTCATCAGAAATTCTGCAAAACTCGTTGGAACAAAAGTCAGTTTTTACTATCGTTCCAGTTTACTCTATTTGTTTTGGCTTGGGGGTCATCGACCCTAGACGACCAATGACTCTACCGTAAACTTCACCTTTTTCGGTGCGATTTCCTCGATGGTGCGATTCCGCGAGACGAATCTGATGACGCTGACCTCGGTGGGCCGGTCGGCGCACGTCTCCGTACCCTGGCCCATCCTGCGACGAGACTCGCCACTCGAGCAACGGCGAGCACGGGGGAAGATGAGCTCGCTCACTCACTCGCTCCGCTCGCGGACATCACATAACCTGTATCCTCGTGTGACGGTGCGTTTGACAGAAAAAATTTCGACTTTGCTGAATGAAGACCGCGTGAAATTCCACGGTTTCTCGACGAGGCCGACGCTTGGGTCGCGGCACTTATCGACGAAACGCGTCCACGAGTACGCACAGAAACGCGCCGTCGATTCCGAAAGCTTACATTATCACTCTGTCAATAATAACAATTATTTGTGTTGTCATGCCAGTGGAACGGAATCTGACGGGATCGTCCCGGCCGCAGCGGCGACGCCGGTCAGTTTATCGCGTGTTGAGAACCACTGCTGCGCGACTCGAGGTGAGTTCCACATGGCGCTCACAACGCCCGTGATCAATAATTGTCCTTGTTTAATATTTAATGAGCGGCAAAGATGAGATGATTTTAAGAGCGTTTCGAGTGTCAAATGGAACGCACTTTTATAATCACAGAGAAGTGCGCATCTCATCGTCAAATGCATAACTCGCGGTCTACAATTACACCCTATTATAGATCGAGGATTAGGCATAATTACCTGCAATAAAAGAAAAAAAAAATACTCGTGAGTTGTTTACATCCATCTCTGTCACAAATCATTACGTATGTCACATGCTTAAATTCGTATCAAACGGTGAATTGAAATTAGATTGGACTTTAACCAATCTGTACAAGATTCACTAAATTTGAGATTGATTTTCTTTTTTCTGATTGGTTACATTTCAATCTAATGTATATGCATTTAATTCTAATTTTCTATAGCTGGCAATAGAAAAACAATAAGACTGGAAAATCGCAAGTTTTTCATAAAACTACAATGACATCTCTCTGAAAAATATATATAAAGTCTTCTTTTTTGTTGTCTTTATCAATCATGTCTTTATCAATCAAGACATAATCGCGTTCCAGACTTGTTAAAAAGAAAGATATCCATTAATTATATTCGAAAACTCATTAAAAAAAACAATGTATTATTCCTTCAATTTGCACATGAACAATAATATAGTCAAAGCAATGAAGTTTTGAAAATTATTATAGCTTTATAGTTCAAATTCATGGACAATGATTTAATTCTTATAGTTGATTCCAACATTTGATAAGAAGATAATTAAAATTAATTAACAATAGTATAATTAACAATAGTATAAGACATTGTATTTTATATATATATATATATTTTTTTTTTTTAACATATACGGTCTTGGTCTTTTAAAATACAAAGTAGAAAAAGACATTAGAAATACAACATATTATTTTATAAATATCACTATTTGAAACAAAATCTTGATAAATAAATCATTTTTTTATTATCAGTCTCTTTATAATTATCGCTAGGATAATTTATCTCTACGAAGTCATTGTTCTTATTCGTATCATACGTTCTTTAGCTGCTTTAAATTGTTCGAGGACATTTTCAACGTTATTCATGAGCGTATCAGTGCTCACTTTATCGGCATCGTCTCTTTGATAATTGGAATGTTTTGTGTGTATATTACTTTGATGTATCACATTCATATAAATTTTAATATCTCCGCTCGGTACAACTTTCAAATTTGATTTATCTAAAACTTTGCCCTCGTGAGTCATTGGAATACCGCAATATGTTATATCCTCGAGTTCGTAAGAACCACCGACAAAAAATCGTCTCAAGGTATCGATGATATTTCCTTTCGCACGCCATGTAGAGACTGTAAATTCGTATCTTCCAGGTGTCATCGGTATTGGCAATGCCGCGTAACCCTCTATTCGATATCTATATTAAAACAAATGAACACATGAATATATTTCATATTATCAACGAATGAAAATATCGAAAATAATATGAAATTTTTTAGCCGGATGAAAGAAATAAAAATATAAAAAAAATGTGTGGCTTTCCGTATACAAATGCATTTACCTGGTCCAACTATCCAGAGATGCCACGGAAAATAATAAACGAGGCCAATGTGATGTATCATTGCTTAATTGTTCAGATTCACTTGAGGGATAATGCAAAGATATATCCATGCAATAACTAAAATGCGCCATTTTATTTTCTAAGAGAGATTTCTGCGTTCTGCCAAACAGCCTTTCTTTTTGCTTTGTACTCCAATGTTGCGGCAAATCGATAAAGTAGGTAATAAACAATCCGTCGTAAGAAAAGCCATAGGCTGATACAATATCCAAGGTCATGAATACTGTAGACATATTTGGTGGTGGTGGTTGCAATTCCTTGTATAGCTCTGCTTCTTTATAAGCAAGCTGCTGTTGTAATTCCTGCAATGAAAAATGTATTAATATCAATGTAATTAATTACCAATTAATATTCCATCAATTAACAATTAATTTATTTAAGCTAAATATGTATATTCAATTTATATTATATACTATAGTATTTTATATATTCATTTAACTTAGAAAAAAATATAAATTTTTCCAGAAATCACCGCATACGTTAATTCATATCAATTCATAAAATTGAGTAGTGGAGAAAAAGAGAGAAGGACTTTTAATAGGACAAAGAAAGTGTTAAGCAAACGATTATTATTTTAAACTAAAAGACTGATCTTGAGTAAATTATCGCGCTTACAATATCGTAACTATCTCTAAGAGCGCGCGAAATAAAATCCACTAATCTGATTCCATCACTTGTGCAGGAAGTGCAGTGATAAAGCGGCGTGAGGCTACCACTGCCATGCGAATAGTATGCGAAAGCCGCTTTCTATGTTCGCGGATATATTCCTGCTCCACTGTGCACGTATAAACTGTATATATACATACACACGTATACGCTGATAGCGCCTAACATACAGCCTCATGGAAGAGAGGCGTTCAAGAAGACGGACGGGAGAACCATAGGAGTTTCAGTTGATCGTAGGAAGTACGCTGGTCAACTCGGCACGTGCGCGTCTTCACAAGGAAACACAAACACGCGCGATTATTATCGCGAACATGTACGCCGATTAAAAAGAGTTCGATCTCGCTGGCGGTTTCATCATGCTCGAAACCACGAGGAAATCAATAGGCCGCAGGACTGTTGGGTGTGCCCTCGACGACCGGAAAGAGGAAAGAACGTTGGTGAACTAACAAGAATTTTCCGACGAGGATGCCGTAAACCGTGCTGAGCATCGGGACAGAATTACAGTGTACATAACGACGTGACAATGATGTTCCATCCGCACCGAGCGATGCGTCAAATCTCAGAAATTTCCTACGTAGGGTACGTAAGCGTCCCTTCTTTTTTCTTTCTTTTTTTTTTTTTCTTTTTTATATTCTCTTCTTTCGGAGCGCCGACAAAGCTGTGTGTTTGATAGCGCAAATAACGCTTTTTATGACATTTCTTTGATATCGAATAGTGATGAATTCTTCTGATCGTATCATCGCGAATTTCCTGTGATTTTTCGCCGGCGTCGACCGCGGCAATCTCGCTGCTTAGAAACGAACGGGTGAACGCGTACATCATATTGCTTCATCGCGCCCGTCCAATTTGATAAATATGTGATTTGATAAACGCCGTCGCTCTCCACGTGCCGCTCTGTGTTTGTCCGTACTTGACATTACATGATCGAGACTCACAAAAAAGAACAAAACAGCTGTTTTTTTTTCTATCTCTCTCTCTGCTTTTTCTCTTTTGAAGCGAAATAAATAATATACACTATGCATAATACTATTATTAATGACATAAATGTAGTTATATATTTTTGATATTTTGAATATTTTGTATAAATTTATTTTATTAATTTTATTAATTAATACCGTCACGATAATCTGGTGGTTTTTAATAGTTGATGCAATTTTCTTACCTTTTATATCTCAAGATTTATTAAAAAAGATAATTAATGAAATCTCTTCAAAATTTCCAATTCCTCCGAAGATTTATTGCAAAAAATGATTCTCAATAGTTATCATCATTGTTATGAAATTCCGTAATTATTTGCGTGTCTCTTGCGGTTTACTTTTCGCTAAGTAACGATGACGAACGTCTTGTTACATCTAAAAGCGACACAAAGATTTGTCATTGTGCAATATTATTCTCGGAGTAATGTATCTCATACTTTCAATTCTCATTTATCAAAATATAAATTACATATTACTACGATTTGAAATTAGAAAATGATATTGATAAATGAAATTAATAAACGAAATAAATTAATAAATTAATTTTTACGATTGGCGGAACTTTATACCTAATTGTTTTTGTGACAATGAATTTTTATATATTTCATTTCTTTCAAGTACGATTACTGTTTCGGTTTCAAAATGTACCGTTAAACAAAATCAATAAGTTTAATTTAAACAAAAATAAAAAAAAGTCTCGAACTTCTATTTTTTTATAATGTACGATATGTAACTTAAAAATTATTAAGATTGTAAAAATTATGTATATTTTATCTCATTACTAATTAAATAATTAATCATTAATAAATTATAAAAAATATAAAAATACAGAGAGAGAGAGAGAGAGAGAGAGAGAGAGAGAGAGAGAGAGAGAGAGAGAGAGAGAGAGAGAGAGACGACGACGACGACGACGACG